CCTCCCCCTCTCCCATGTCCCCCCGGAACTGTCAGTCCCGTTGTTTTCTCCTCCAGATTGTTCATCCAGCCTGTCAGAATTCTTGAGTCTCCTCCAAACTCTGAGCTCCCAGAGGACCCCCTTCTTCCCTCAGTGGTCCCACTTGTCTCACAGATGGCAGACTGCCAACTGACTGAATGGTCCCCATTAGGCTTTGGGTTCCTCAGGCAGGCGCTCCATGATATGTTCTTCCCCGTGTCCCTGCCCAACACAGCCCGGTGGGCAGGGCAGGCCCATCGGCAGCCTCTGCTCTGCTGTGTACTCCTGTGTCCCACGTTTTCTCTGCTCCAGCCACGCCAGCCTTACTGGGCCTGGAGTACACTCCTCTCACTCTGCTCATGGCTGGGTCTCTTGCCCATTCTACTCTGAGCTCAGTTTGCTGACTTGTGAGACAGAAGTCACGGGCTTCCTGTCCAGTCACACTAATCCCCCATTAGTTATGTCATGAACAGTGTTGTGGTTAGAGTCGGTCGTCGGTGCCACAGAGCAGGACCTCTGTGATTGCTGTTGTCTTGTGTTTTGCATCGCTGTCACTAGGCTCACACTAGCACATACATAAATAGTCAGTACATGTTTCTTTCATGAATAAAGGACACATCCCCGGTCAGGCTTTGGGTGAATGAAAGTACTGGAGTTAACTCATCACAGCATTTTCATTAAAGTTCCCAGTAGAGGTGCAGCCTGTGTTCAAGGTTGGATGCCGTGATTCTCACATGTCCCCGCTCATCCTCACTTTCCTCCTGTCACAGGACATCAGCATGGCTTACGGGGACCACCTGTTGGAGGAGCAGCTCCGGGAGCCCGCGGGGCTGGTGTTTGCCCGCTGCGGTGCTTACGAGAAAGCGCTGGAGGCCTTCCGGGCCTGCGGCAGCTGGCAGCAAGCCCTCTGCATGGCCGCCCGACTGAACTTCACCAAAGACCAGCTGGCTGGCCTTGCCAGGACTCTGTCAGGTAAACACTGTTTATTTCTCTTCTTCTGGGCAAAGCTGTGCTTCTTCCTTGTTTGATTTGATGACTGCAGATAAATGTCGGGTAATGTAGGGCAAGATAAATCTCATACTTGCTGATAAAAATCAGTTTAGAGTGGTACTAATGAGGTTGAGCTGCTACAGCCAAAAAGCCCAGGGATGCATCAGCATGATAAAGCCAGAAGTTACTCTTTCACCGAAGCTGCACAGAGCTAAGCTGTCTGGGCATGACGAATTCAGACACCGTCCGTCTGTGGCCCTGCAGCTCATCGCATCACGCCTGTCTGCGTGGTTGTAAAGGGGCTGTCTTCACGTCTGCTCTCTAGGCCTTGGGAAGAGGGAAAAGCGAGAGTCCATTTAGGACAGTGTAGCTGGGGCCATGTGCCACGTAGGAATTGGTTGGAACCCCTGGAGCCAGGAAACCATCATAGCTATGGCCCCAAATGAGGTGGAAGAAAAGACCAGTGCCTAAACCCAGCGAAGTCAAAGGACCATCTGCTTGATGGTCCAGGGATTGCCTGAGCCGCAGGGGGAAGCAGCAGCAGGGTCTGGTTTCTTATCATAGAGGCAAGGTGAAGGACGCCGAGAGGAGGATGTGTAGGGGCTCTGACCCTCCGCAGTGTTGACGAGCGAGGAGCCACTGCTCGGAGGCCCGCGCTGTCGCAGCAGTCTGCAGAAAGGTCTGTGACACTCTGGCACGCTTAACCTCCTCGGTGCTAAGGACATGCTGTTACCCTGAGCCGGAGACCAGAGCTCTGAGGCTTTTCTCACTCATTTCCACCTGGATTCCGAACAAGAGCCCTTCCTCCGTGTGCTTTTAAGCCAGGTTCGCTGTACAGCTGCATACTCCTCGGGTCTCTGTGAGCAGTGCCGACTCGATGGCAGTGGGTTGTAGTTTGAACTAATTATGAGATCAGCAAACTTGGGTGGGATCATATAAGCTAAGGTCAAATTTATAGGGGACCTTGTGGTATAATGGTTACTCACTGGGCTAATTGTAAGTCAGCAATTAGAAGCCAGTAGCTGCTCCTCAGGAAAAAGAGTGGCTTTCTATTGCTTCTGTCATTACTAGTGAGGGTAAATTTATATCACATTAAACACCACATAAGAGTTTGTCTTAAGTTGGATGTTTATGGTCTAGAGACTTAGTTTATAAATTTAAATTTTAAGAAATTATTTTTAGATAAAAGCTTTGGATCTTTCAGCTTTTTAGGTTATTTCAAGCCAACAGAGAAGCTGAGAGCAAAATATAATGAATGACCTTTACCATGAATATACCTTAACCAACTGATATTTGACCCCATAGTCATAGCAAAAACATAAACAACTCAGTACATAGATCTCCCCAGATGGAACACACAGGAATCAAGCGGACTGCATCTCTGGAAAGAGCGGATGGAGAAGCTCAACGCCATCGGTCAAAACAGAGCTCAGAGCTGACTGGAACAGACCAGCAGTTGATGAACTGCAAGTTCAAGATGAAGGAAGTCCACGAGAGCCAAAATATGATCTGAGCAGATCCACCAGACTTTTGAGAACATCTCTAGAACAGAGTTGATGCATTGAACACTCAAAGAGCTGTTTGTACAAAACAAAGAGAAACTCCATGATTTAAACTCAGGAAAAGTGGGTGTGCAGGTTTGTACCCTTTTACAAACTTAGTCTGTATGCTGAGCAAGTAAGTAATATGTGAGGTCGGACGGTACAACGAGGACTGCAGCCTCAGGACGGAGGAAAGCACGTTAGCAGACCACAGCGACAGCCTTGTTTGCTGACAGCAAAGACTCTGACCCTCAGGGTTGCTTACACCTCAGCATTAAAGCAAAACAAAAGCAACCCCACAAAACAAAATTCCTCAGCACTGGACTAATCAACACTATCATGATCAATAGACCAAAGTGACATTGTCGAGGATTTCATGTTACTTGGATGCACAGTCAATGCCCATGCAATCAGCAGTCAAGAAATCAAATGAGGTATCATATTGAGCAAATCTGCTGTTACAGATTCCTTAAAGTGTTTTAGAAGCCAAGTTGTCCCATTGGAGGCCTGAGGTGAGGCTGACTGAGGAATGCTGAAAGAGAGCCGCTGCCTTTGACTATCACAGAGTGCTGATGGCAGAACAAACATGTCCGTGTGGGGACAAGTACGAAGTACATCTAGAATAGTCCTTAACAGTGAGGCTGGTGAGACTGGACATGCTGTCCGGAGGGACCTGCCTGGAGAAGGACATCGGCAAAAAAGCAGGAGCCTTCCATGTGACGGACTGACCCGGCGACGGCACCAGTGGTCTGAAACACCAGTGGTTATGAGGCTGGCACCGGCCTGCGCAGTGCTCGATTCTGCTGTGCTGGGGTCCCTACAGCTCAGGGGGTACCTGACAGTCACAGCAGATGCTCGTCAACCTGTACCTTGCTGTGTGTTGGCCGCACCTCACTTTGGAGTGCCTCCCATTCTCCCAGATACATACAAGGGTGAAGGGTGTTCGAGAAATAGCATACAATAGAGGAGCGTTTCAAAACACTTATGAGATATTCCATAATCTTTTACTTTCATTTTCCACGTACTCTTTGAAGCCTTCTCAGAGAGGTGCTTCCTGTCATGCAGTTTGCACAGGGTCTGCAAACAAAAGATAACTGTGTACATAATTGTGCAGGTGATGAAACCTGTTGTTTTTGTGTACATAATTGTGCAGGTGATGAAACCTGTTGTTTTTCAGTGGTGCGATGGCCGGAACTGGGTGTGAGATGGAGGCAGTGCTGCCCTTCCCCTGTGCGTCTTTTGTGTTAGGAGTATCCCGCCAGGGCCCAGAGCGACTCCAGGATGTGAACCCGTCACAGGCTCCCTCTAGTGCTCAGCCAAGAGATAGCCGTCCTTTGGTGAGCCGGAGCCCTGGCTAGGGGGCTCTGTGGGAGCCGTCGACACCCTGTGGGCCGGTTCTGCTCTGACCTGCTAGGGTCCCTGTGAGTGGGCATCAGCTTGCTGACGGTGGGCTTTTTATTTTCTATAAGAGGGAGAGCTGGAATCGTGAGTTAGCCTGGCTCAGTTTCCCACGTGCATGCTTTCACAGCATTTTTCAAAGTGAATTTTCACGCATTTTCACATCTTGAGCTAAATTTAGATTCTGCCAATTGAAGTTGGATGCTGTGGTCTGCCTACCTGTTTCCTACCACCCTCCACAAAGCACATCGTTGGGAGTATAACAGGTAGAGGTTGTTTTGGCTAGGGGCGGCCAGGTCGGTTCTGGCTCATAGTGACCCTAGTACAACAAAACACTGCTGGGTCCCGCACCCTGCTCGCCATTGTTCTGATGTTTGAACCCAGTGGAGGGCCATAGAAGAAGCACCTTCAGCGCAAGAGTCCGGCTTTGTTCTGTCCATTGCTTCATAAACACACTGGACCCTGGAAGCCCTTTTTTGTGCTGTTATGACTTGGGACACTTTCGAAAATGCTGTCTTGAAGCAGTTCTATATAAATACATACTTTGTAGAGTTCAATCAGTAATTCTTAAAATACTTTGCATAAATGATTTAAGCCAACAATGTATTTTGTGTCAACAAAAACTGTTGATGCTCAAGTTTTAGCAATACTGTTCTTAATAAGCCCACTGTTTTCAGATGTTCATTGTTTTTGTTTTATGTTATTTTGCAGGAAAGCTAGTTGAGCAGAGGAAGCTCAGTGACGCGGCCACAGTTCTGGAACAGTATGCCCAGGTACACCCCGCTCCTTTCTTTGCAGGCACCCTGCTTCCCAAGCAAGGACTTCTCAGTTGGACCCTATTGATTAAAGGCACAGTTGAGCGGGGCATTGTAAGTCCAGCGACAGTGTTTCTTTTGAAAGCCATCCGTTTTGGAAATATAAATTGACTGCATCTCTCAATAACGAGAAGCTCTGAGATAAGCTACCAGAGAGCCCTCGTAATATATGCTAGCAGTTTGAACTTGGTTAAAAACACAAAGAGTGGAGTTGATTTTGACTTCTTGAGTTTCTGAGACTAAATATTTACAGGATGATACACGTACCACATGTTCTGTTGTTATCCTAGAATGCACACCCCTCCTTTGTCTTCTGCGTCAGTGTTTGTTGAGCGTGGACTGCAGGCCACTAGGGCCGGGTCAAGACTGGAGTGGACAGAGGCTGCCGTGTAGGCAGTTACATCCAGCTTGTCCTGGTGGATCTGAGCATCTGACACCTGCTGTCTCCCTTGTCAGGACTATGAAGAAGCTGTGCTCTTGCTGTTAGATGGCAGTGCCTGGGAGGAAGCTCTGAGACTGGTGAGGGATTCTTCAGTGTCTCCTTGCGCCGGGTGCTAAGCTGGGAAAGAGAACAAGGGAGACGCGGTCGGCTGTAATCCCTTGTCTTGTGAGAGTAGAGCATTTAAAAAGAAATAGTGCATGTTCTGCATGTAAGGATTAGCAAATGTTTTTGAACTCATTTTTAATTTTACGTTATGTAACACAGTGCTGTTTTTACTGTAGTGAGTTGACTGTCCTTTGGCCACCTTCCTGGAGGCCCCCTCCCCTGCAAACTATCCTGGTCACCTCTGAAAACACTCCATTTCTTGCCAGGCATCTTAACTCTCCACTCAAGAGTCTTTTTGGCCTAATATTTGACTCTGTTTTTCCTTCCAGGTATACAAATATAACAGACTAGATATCATAGAAACCAACATAAAGCCTTCCATTTTAGAAGGTAAGGGTCCCATTTTTTAGATAGAATTCTTCATCTGACATAAAAAGATGAGAGGGGAGAGAGAGGACAATACTTCCTTTCTTACCACAAATTTTAATTATTTGTTGTTACGAAGTGTCAATAAAAATTCTCCACTGAGTGTTGCATTTAATCTTGACTGGAATTTTTAATATGCTAAACTGTTAAATAGTAACACAATATTTGGATGTTACAAAACCATGATAAGGTACATTTAAGAATCTTTGAACATAATAATGGTTGCTAAATTTAAATCTGAACTGTCTGTTAGATAATAATATTGGATCAATGGTACATTTCTAGCATTTAATAATTGCATTGTGATTGTGGGAGATACTGTTTTATTCTTAGGAGATATGTGTTGTCATAGGAAATACAAGAAGATACAAGAGAGATACACGAGATGATTCCATTATCTTTCCATTCCCTTTTCCCATGACCTTTTTGATGACCCATCTATTGAAATATTTAGTAGTGAAAGAGCATGCCTGCAATTTCCTCTCAAATATTAAAAAAAAAAAGCAAATAGAGCTAAGGGTAACGATCGGTAAATCTGGGTGAAGGGTAAGTCTTTGTTCATTGAGCAAGTGCGTTTTTAACAAATGATGGGAAACCTTTGCACGTCAAGCCTTATACCTAGAGAACAGAGCAGTGTTGCCAGCTCTAGAATCTTCTGGGGGTCACTGTGACCCCTTCAGGGCAAGATGGAAATACAGAACATCAGCTTGACTTAATAGAAATCTTGAAGAGTGTGGGTTGATTTTTGGAATTGTCTTTTTAAACATAGTCTGCCCTGTAAGTAATGTCTGGCTTTTAACATTCACTTACATTTCTTCTCTTACCCCCTTGCTTCCCCTTCCCATTTCTTAATGAGAGCTGTAGGAACTTCTTTCGGTATCACTCACTTGGGTGCTCCAAACTGGATACTGAAAGCATCCTTTCTCGTCAGTAGCCGTCCATGTAGACAGCTTTTGAGATCTTCTTTACCGTTGAGAACCTAGGAGCATGCTAACCTCGGGAATGCTGCCGATGCATGTTGAGTGGTCGCTAGGTGCCGTTGAGTCAGTTCCAACTTGGACTTCTCCAGGTAGAACACAAAAGAATCCAATAGTCTACATCTGTCGGAAGAGACTGTGCAGAAGCTCATTATCAGTGGCTAACACCGAGCAGATGCCAACTGTGGAACAGACCATCAATTGTGTTGTTGACAAAAACAATTTGTTGTCTTGCACAATTCTTTCATGTGATCTCCAGGTATATTTCTATCACCAAGATCAAATTTTCCAATTACTGTTCCTTCCTCTTTGTTTCCAACTTTTACATTTCAGTCACCCATAATTATCAATGCACCTTGATTGCATGTTTGACCAATTTCAGACTGAAGATGGTAGAATTCTTCACTTTCTCCATCTCTCACTTAGTGGTTGATGTATAAATTTGAGTACTAGTTGTATTGATTGGATCTTGTTGTATTTGGATGCATATTATCATTTCATAGACAGCATTATACTTCAAGATAGATCTTCAAAGATCTTTTCTGAAATATGAATACACCACCGTTCCTCTTCATTGTATCATTCCAGGCATTGTAAAGCATATGATTTCTTTATTCATAGTGGCCAATACCAGTCCATTTCAGCTCACTAATGCCTAAGATATGGATCTCCATGTGTTTTGTTGTACGGTGGTGGCTTTTGTGTTGCTGTGAAGCTGAAGGCTATGTCACTAGTACTTCAAGTGCCAGCGGGGTCTTCCAAAGTGCACAGGCTCCAGTGAGCTTCCAGACTATGAAGAAGGGATAGGCCGTGCGCGTTAGAGGGATATGCCATTGAAACCCCTGTGAGTAGCTCCAAAGCACTGTCAGTTACTGCCAACCTAATGGATAGAAATAGAACATTGTCGGCGACAGTGCCAGAAGACAAGCCCCACAGGTGTGAGGCTGCCAGACTATGACAGCGGAAGAGCTGCCTTCTCCAAGGACAGTCGCTCCGAATGACTCAGCTGGAATAAAGCCTGCAGGAGTAACGTCTTCTGCATGAGCATGACTCACGTGAGAAGCAAGCGCTGCAAGCATCAATCAGGGATCGGGCGTGGAGTGTACAAAGCATGAATCTAGGAAAATTGGGGCTCATTAAATGTGAAACGGAACACATAGACCCAGTACCTGTTAATAAGATGTCTCTTTGAATGGTAGTATTTTGCTTTCTTCTATGTATTCTACCATTAATGTTTTGTGTATTTTCCCATTGGACAATGATTTTAAGAAATTGGCGGATATATATGTTCAAAGCCCGAGGGCGTTCTGATGGGTGACTAGGCAGAAGCACTTGACTGTTTCCTGTTGCTTTGTTCGCAGCTTCCTGTGCACACACTCCTGTTTGCCAGTCCGCTCCGAAGTTAGATCCTAAGCCTGCACAGGGGAAGCTAGAGGTTGATGAGTAGAGTGTTCTGATTCTTAAGAGCTGGACTGTAGACCGCCAGGTCACTCTACATCGAGTAATGCTCATCGAGAAAAGAGTCTCGCTGAGAGAATCTGGAAGCCTGTTGCAGCTCCCATCACCCATGCTCCCTTCACAGTTTTCCTCTTTGTATAAACACCACCCTCCAGTTATCCTCCGTTTCGTCCCCCAGCCCAGAAAAATTACATGGCGCTTCTGGACTCTCAGACAGCCACATTCTGTCGTCATAAGAAACGGTTATCGGTGGTTCGAGAGCTCAAGGAGAAAGCCCAGCAGATGAATCTGGGTGAGTGTCTGATGCATGCCTGTGTGCATGTGTGAGGGCAGGGCTGAGCCAGAGTGGCAAGGTGTGTTAGTCTGGGTAGACTAGCGAAACAAATTCACAGAAATCCATATGTATATAAGAGTAAGTGTGCATTAGGAAAGAATCCCAACCCAGTCCATTCCAAGCCCATAAGTCCAACATCAGCCCACATGTCTGACACCGATCTACAAAGTCCTCCTCAAACTGGCAAAACACACGCAGTCACGCCCAATGCAAGAGGAAAGCCGAATCAGTGAGTGTGTGAGCATCTCAGCGCTGGCAGGGATCTCCACACGGCTTCTCCAGCACCCAGGGCTGCATCAGGATAGGTTCTTCTCAGGGAGGGATATCTCGCAGGAAGTGAGCCTTGCCAGCTGAGGCAAAGAACTGGGTAAGGCAGCTGCACCCTGGTCTGACCATCAGAGAACAAGAGACCAGTGAATAAGAAAGGCGAGGTTTACCTCTCCGCATTTCAATTACGGTGATCCCACATGTGTTTATCGGCCAGATGGCACAATAAACCTTAACTGTCACCCAAGGGCTCTGCCCCAAACCTCAGACCCTTCACTCAGAGCAGCTGACCACTTCTAAGTTTATAAAATGAGTTTGCTCATTTCCAAAAGTTTGGTAAACTGCTAGTTTACAGTAGTAATAACTGTTTATGTGATGTCGTTTTGAAATCAATTTGTCGTAAATGCCATCCATCCATGGATAGCCCTCAGTTGAGCGGTCTCCATGAACCCCCGGCTGAAGGAAGTGTTCTCGTTGTGCACCTGCTTCTGCTCTTCTAGGTGATGAGGGCCCCCACGACCCAGAGTCTGACCTCTTCTCTGAAACCAGCAGTGTTGTGAGCGGCAGTGCCACGAGTGGCAGATATTCACACAGCAACTCCAGGATATCAGCGTATGTATCCTGCTCATTCAGCACAGGGGCCGCCATCTTCCTGGTATGTGGAGCCAACGGGCTAGGGGTAGACAGACACAATTCCAGCAAGGTGGGATTTGGGCAAGGACCTCCCTGGCATATCTAAAATTACACTTGGGCTACGGCTCTTGTGCTTACCCAGCCTATGGGGCTCTTGTCCT